GTGTAACGGCGTACTTGGACAAGCCCACCCGGGAGGCGCTGCATATGGCCGAGTTCCATTGCAGAATGACGGCTACCGGGATGCTGGAGGAAGCGGCTGTAGAGTATCTGGAACGCCGGGGGTTCAAGGTGCGTTAATGGAGTTGATCCATCCCGACAAGTACACCCTGGCGCTGCGGCCGGGGATCGGAGATTGGACCATCGCGGGGGACCAGGTGATCATCGGCATCGGGCCATTGGGCACCCGGCGGATAAGGGACGAGATTCCCAGCTGGGTACTGAACCGTCCGGCGAGCATCTCGGGCGAGATCGTGCTGAAGAAGGAACCGCTCGACAGTTTCTTGGGACAGATCACGCGGGTACCGCGCAGGTTCTGAGTGGTCTGGGTTGGCAAAGTGCCAACCACCGACGATAGGGTCGTCATAAAAGTGTGATCAGGGCGATTTATCGGATATTTATGGACAGCTGGGAGAAGGGAAGCCGGCGACGGGTTCCGCGGAGGCAGGGCGCCGATGACCGTTAGGTCGCCGACACCGGTCTGGGTGAAGCCGGACACAAATCGCCCGGGCGGGAGCGATGCGTGGCCGACGTCATCCACTTCCGTACGCCAACCACGTAAGGGTTGGTAACATTGAATCATCAACCCGGTTTCCAACCACCGGGAATCCTCACCGAGGAGAGTCCATGACCAAACTTACCACCCAGCGCCAAAAGGACTCCGCCAACACCGACCTGCCTCAGTTCCACGACCCCGACGACCAGGTCATCGGTCTGGACATCGGCCTGGATACCGACGATACGGTCCCACCAGACGAAACCCATATCCAGAACGACCCCGAGCCGGAAACAATCGAGATTGACCCTGACGAGGCCGCCGTCCTCGCCTACTTCACCAACGCACGACGCGACCAGCTCGAAGCACTCCCCGAGCCCACCAAGCGCGACCTGCAACGCGAGGAACAGATCTGGGCCGAACCCGAAGACAACCTGACCTCCCTGGACGACCCAGTGCGGGTGTACCTCCGCGAAATCGGACGCATTCCACTCATCGACGCCAAGCAGGAGCAATACCTGGCACGCCGTATCGAGGAGATGGCACACCTGCACCCGATCCCCGGACTAAACCACCTCGCGATGCTCAGCGACCCGCAACGCCTGGAAGAGGAACTCGGCCAGGGGCCGCTCCCCATGCCTCACCGGGCTTATACCCAGGCCGCTCGCCTGATGAACGACCGACGCCTGCCCAATCAGCTGCCGCAGATCCACGGCGAGGACCTTGATGTGTCCTGCTGGGACGCCACCATGCTGCTCCTGGCGCGAATCACCAGCGCCTGGCCCATCATCCAGTCCATCTCGAACCACGCACAGATCGGCCAGCAGGTCACCATCACCGAGATAATGACCAACCAGACCTTCCGTGCCAGCATCGACCAGACCATCGATCCTGAACTGGTCGAACTCGTTGCGCATGATCTCAACTCTAATCCGGACGATATCACCAAGGCCATGGTCCAACTATCGCTGGACACCGCCACCCTGCCCAACCACACCAGGGAGACCATCAACCAATACCTGCACGCCTGGCTGGAAACCCACCGGGAACAGGAACAACTGGCCGCGCCAGAAACCATCGATGAGGACGACTGCCAGATTCCGATCCTGTCCATGATGCTCCACGACCCCCGCTTCATCGAGCGCATTGGAGAGGACCGGTTCCGCGACGCTGGACACTACTACCAGATCCTCACGGACGGGGAGACGGCCCAGGCTGACCTCAGCCAAGCCAACTTACGCCTGGTGGTGAGCATAGCCAAGAAACACCTGGGGCGCGGCCTCAGCATGCTGGACCTGGTCCAGGAAGGCAACCTGGGGCTCATGCGCTCCGTGGACAAGTTCGACTACCGCCGCGGCTACAAGTTCAGCACCCACGCCACCTGGTGGATTTGGCAGGCCATCACCCGAGGCATCGCAGACCAGGCTCGGACCATCCGGGTCCCGGTGCACATGATTGAGACCATCAACAAGCTGAGGCGGCGCCAAAGCAGTCTCCTGCAGGAACTGCAGCGTGATCCCACCACCGAGGAACTCGCTGCGGCGATGGAGTCAACACCGGAACGGATCCTGGAAATCCAAAAACATGCCATCGAGCCCGTATCCCTCGAAACCCCGATAGGCGAGGGAGAGGACACCTTCCTCGGCGACCTCATCGAGGACCGCGCTTCCGTCACACCCTACCAGGCTGCTGCCCATCAAATGCTGAGCGACCAGATCAACCAAGCGCTGTCCACACTCACCGACCGGGAGCACAAGATCCTCAGGATGCGCTTCGGCCTGGACGACGACCGAACCCATACCCTTGAAGAGATCGGCAAGCGGTTGGGCCTAACCCGGGAACGTATCCGCCAGATCGAGGCCAAGGCCATACGCAAGATGCGGCATCATCCAGGTCCAAGGCTCTGACGCGGATACCTGGAATAACACCAGACCCCGGGCTCTCGATAAACTCGCA